GGTTTAAATTTAATGTTATTCAATTCGCGAGAATAGGCTAGTTGACGGTGGCGTGTGACTAAGGCGGTGAAGGCGAGGGTGTCAACACGGCTCGCTGCCTGGATATTGAGAGCAGAACGACCGATAATATATTCCGTTACTTAGTACCAGCATTCTTGTTTTTTTTCCTTACGTTAAGATAATACTCATATTAGGAACTACAGTAACTTTTCTGTATTCTAAATTACAGGGACAATGCAGGGTGGTACGAAAACAATGACCATTTTGTATGTATGACCCTCTGTCCTGCGTGACAGTGAATACTAGCATTATCCTCACTTTAATAAGACCTATCAAAATCCTCAGATTAGGCAAAATTGTAATTAATTTTGTCAATAAAGATGTTAATAATAATAATAACCATTTTGTAACTGCAACCTGAGCCAATGAGAACACAGACTAAATATTCAACAACGCATCTTAATTAGACAATTTTAACAAATTTGAAGGCTGTCATGTGAACATTTTGTAAAATTTACTCGACATTTTGTGTGTGCTGACTACACGCTCATGTTCCGTACATAATGTTCCAACTGTCTCGACTGAAGCAATTTTTTTTAATCTATTAACACATTTAGGTACATCTGCATTTGTGCAGCTACCCTAGACTATATGAAGGGGGAGTACAGTGTGTCAAAAAAATAGCCACGTGATGCTAAAAATTCCCATCACACAGGATGATTAGTCATACAGAGGCATATGATAAGTAGTCTGCATTGGCAAACTCTGGGTGCATTATGAGGATATCATCAAGAACACGAGAGTGAATAAAGTAATTACAAAGCTCCAGGTACCTCATGCCAACGGGTCTGAATGGTCTGATAACTGGGCATTCGGTGGTGTGTGGGAGATTATGTCCCAGTTCCTGCTCCTAGAGTTTGCACTCTGAGTGCAATGATGCAGCCCGTTCTCATAAACAAAGGTCAAAAGTGATTCCATGCACCCTCCAAACCCCCCTGTTTATGAATAAAAACTGATTACACACGACTCAATTGATTAGGTCCGAACATTTCCGGAACAAGTGCTCCACTGACAACTTTTGTTCGAATTACAACGCTGTAAATATTCCAGCCCGTCCTCCAAACAAAGATCCAAAAGTGATTCCATGCACCCGCCAAACCCCCTGTTTATGAATGAAAAGCGGTTTACACACGACTCACAACTGCTGACGTTCGAACATATCCGGAACAAGTGCTTCACTGACGAATTTTGTTCGAACCACAACGCTGTAAATGCTTCACCCACGTACTACAAATACAAATAATCGCCAACAGAACCTAAACACCTGACCTAACCTATGCCTATTTATGCACAATATGCTAATATATTATAATATTAATTTATATTTGAGAAAATTCCTGTTTTGAATGAACAGCATGTTAAAATTTATGAATGCGTCTGTGGGGTCGACCGCTGGATGTAATGGACTGGAGTCTAGGACGGGTTGAAATATTCAGCCCGTCCTCCAAACAAAGACCCAAAAGTGATTCCATGCACCAACCCGTTCTAGACTCGGTCCATTCCATCCAGCAGTCGACCCCACAGACAAATTAATAAATTTGTATATGCTGTTTATTCAAAACATGAATTTTCTCAAATATAAATTAATATTATAACATATTAGCATATATAGGCATAGGTTATGTTAGGTTAGGTGTTTAGGTTCTGTTGGCGATTATTTGTATTTGTAGTACGTGGGTGAAGCATTTACAGCGTTGTGGTTCGAACAAAATTCGTCAGTGAAGCACTTGTTCCGAAGTGTTCGAACGAAATCAGTTGTGAGTCGTGTGTAAACCGTTTTTCATTCATAAACAGGGGGTTTGGGGGTGGATGGAATCACTTTTGGATCTGTTTGGAGGACGGGCTGCATGCACCCACCAAACCCCCTGTTTATGAATGAAAAACGGTTTACACACGATTCAACTGATGACGTCCGAACACTTCTGGAACAAGTGCTTCACTGACGAATTTTGTTCGACTCAACGCGATAAATGCTTCACCCACGAACTACAAATACAAATAATTGCCAACAGAACCTAAACCACCTGACCTAACCAGTGCCTAAATATGCACAATATGCTAATATATAATAATAATTTATATTTGAGAAAAGTTAGTTTTCAATGAAGAATGTTAAGATTTATAAATGCGTCTTTGGGGTCGACCGCTGGATGGAATGACAGTACGGATTGTGGTGACTGATCCATTTATTTTGAGTCATACAGGTTTATTGTGTATTACCTTAACACTTAAATGGTTCCTCATCCCTTTTGGTTAGTTGCTTCTAGGGATTCCAGACAATGTCCTTACACTACTGCTCAATCTAAGTATGGTGCGCTTTAGATACACTTTCGTATTGTATATTCCGGATCACGTCTTCTTTCTTCCACTATTGTAAATTTGACCTAGATAACTAAGGAAACTGAAAAAGGCATGTTGGCTCATACAATGCAGCTCGTATCTATATAAATCCAAACTCCATGTGCATGTCTAACTACCATTGAAACATTACAGCAAGCCCATGCATATTACGTTACTCGGTAACTTGTTACATAAATTAACAATCTTGGTTCTAAACCAGTATTTACCCAGGTCTTTCCTGAATCTATAGTTTATATACATTGTTTAAGAGTTCGTGCGCTTTTGTGACGATATTTAAACCTCATTTATATCCATTTGGTTATATTACATTTCACGTATAAAAACTGCGAGGCGTGTAGGCAACAGCGGGGAGTATGTTGTGTGTGGTCGGGATGGAGGATCTTGCAGGCGAGGGCCGGTTGAGAAGCAGCAACAGATTCAGATTCAGATTCAGATGTTTATTCAGGTAAGGTACAAGTGTCATGGATTGATAGAGCTAGCTCTATTACGCAATGCGTTTCGGGCAAGAACAGTAGGTAGTGTACCTGTCATGGCTCCGTTACCTCAGGGAGACGCCGCCCGAGGCGAAAAGATGGTGGCAAGGAGGAACTCCAATTACCTCACGCATGTGGCGTATGATAATTCATAGTACGAGGTATGATGCGCGATCATTGCCACACAGCACGCGGTATAACCATTACATGATTGTACAAGTGTACACAAGGTGATAAACAATATTGAGAGCACGGTATGGTGTAGCGGACATTTGTGCCCTCCACATGGAAGAAACAATTAACGACTGAATGTTGCCTTGTTGTTATAGATTCAGCTACTCAGAACAAGTTCCAAGTAGCACGGGCTATGGTGAGCCCGTAGTGGACTTACCTGGCAAAGGAGCGGTGCTGAATCTGTAACGACTGAAGTCTTGTTCTTATCTTATTGAGCATGGAACTGTTTAGTATGCTGATATGCTTTGTGGCGCTGGAGAGAGGGGGGAATTATCAGGGGAAAGCACCAAGCCATTACGACTATATAGTACCTGGACGGTATGAGGATTAGGGATGGGACGAGGGAAAGGAATGGTGCCCAACTACTTGTACAGTCAAGGGATTGAACGCCGACCTGCATGAAGCAAGACCAGCTCTACCGTCCAGCCCAAATGGTTGGCCTGAAATCTTGTTGGTTATCTTGAGGTTATCTTGAGATGATTTCGGGGCTTTTTAGTGTCCCCGCGGCCCGGTCCTCGACCAGGCCTCCACCCCCAGGAAGCAGCCCGTGACAGCTGACTAACACCCAGGTACCTATTTTACTGCTAGGTAACAGGGGCATAGGGTGAAAGAAACTCTGCCCGTTGTTTCTCGCCGGCGCCTGGGATCGAACCCAGGACCACAGGATCACAAGTCCAGCGTGCTGTCCGCGCGGCCGACCGGCTCCCCCGGTCGTTGAGTAACGAGTAACAATTATTGAGTAACAATTGTTGAGTAACAATTAATATATGTGTGCGAGACAGAGTGAAAGTTTTAGTGACGAACACGTGCGTTATGTACTAAATTGCCCGAACCTAACCTAAACGAGGTCGTACGAATAGAAAACGTGACCACGTCAATTTTGCCAGCCGTTATGACTTTTAGTACATTAGTTTTTGATTGATTGATAAAGATTAAGCCACCCAAGAGGTGGCACGGGCATGAATAGCCCGTAAATTAGTTTTTGCCCTAAGGAGATCAAAATGTGATGAGGACGTACTGGATGAGAATTCGAGAGGACGAGCTAGATGGTATACAGCAGACGCCTGTACTGACTTAGCAGTAAACAAGCATCTGTTGTGGGGTTCATCCTGGTAACATCCTGGGGAAGGTCAGTCGTTGGTCTAGAGCTTCGACAAACTTACAGGATTCATGGCCTCGACAGTGCGCAGTCTTATTACAGAACCCTGTTAGCAGCAACCCGAGGCGAGACAATGCATGAAATAAAGCAGTATTAGGATGTATGATAAGTACTACTAAATGTATGGAGAAAGAGGACAAGGCGTGCTAGTTTCCTAGGAACACTAGGAAACATTTGCACTCGCAGGGTGAAGGATATGATCCAGATTTTGTCAAGCAGATAAAAAGCATCAACAGGGTTCTGAAACAGTACAAGTCCTAATCCGAAACAGTGGGGTACAAACTGTAGAAATTACGTTTCAGGAGGCATACAAGTACTGACTTGAGAATAAGGTTGTGGACGAGTGGTATGGAGTAACAGCTAGCATTATTAGCATAAGCAGTTTCACATCCTTCTAGAATATATTGTATAGCCGAGAGGGTGGATTAATTGGACCCGCCTAGTATGGGCCAACAGGCCTGCGGCATTGCTCCAGTTCTTGTGAAACAATGGATAAGAATTATCTAAGTTTAGAGTCTTTAAAAACAAACTTGGTAAATACGGCTTTGAGAACTGCAGATTTTAAGAAAATACCAGATCATAGTATTTTCCATGATATGATTCCACAGATTGTGGAATTGCCGAGCGAGTTTGGTTTGTATAGATCAATAGGGCCCTTCCAAATGACTAAGTATTGTAACGTTATCTACACACTAAACGGCATATTATCTTACCTGTGAGCCCACAGTGTGTGTAAGGCAGCTTGCAGCGTACCTTGTTGAGCCACATCCTCCTCTGTCGGGTCAAGAATACCGAAGGGCATCCCACCGTATCCTCCAAACCTCTCGGCCCCACCAGAGTACCTCGGCAGCAGGGCTTCCTTCCTGGTAGCTGTACGTGTTGCCCCCACAGAACCACCAACAGGAACCAGAGGTCGGTGGGGTGCTGGGCTCTCAGAGTGGCGAGCAAGGCCACTCAATGGATCAAGATAAGCGTTAATGGGAACAGATCCTTCCATAATTGAGTTCTTGTCTCCTGATCGATGAGACGACTCTACTAGGCCCTTATTAAGGTGTGGTGGTTCAGCGAGAGGCGCGAGGTGACTCTGGATGCCGTAGTCTGTGAATTCTATAAACGGGAAGGTAGAGGGAATGGCGGGTATCACAACAGTTCCCATGAGCGGCTGGGGCACCTGGCGGCCATCACCAAGGCGAGGCACTCCTGAGCTGGCACTGCTTGCGGCACTCACCAACACTAGTGCCAACACTCCTAGCCAACACATTACGGTGGCTGACTATCGTTTACGTCTAGTACGGTACACATTAATTGTCGTAGAGCTTTTTGCTAGCCTTTGAGTATCACCTTTTATTACTATGGCTCATTTTTAACCGTCAGTTACCCTAAAATTATAAGCTCACATATGATGACTATCTTAAGTAACTGCACTTGCAAATCTCTTCACGAGAAACTGATTTCGGTTTCATTTGTGATGGACTGACATCACCAGCCTGTTGGAATCATCCATCTCAAGTTGATGTCGCCCTGTTGACTTCGTGCTCAATGTTCTCGACAACTATTGCAAGGAAATTCCTAATTAAACGCAATGAAGACAAATTTACAGTGTCCATGCAAATTCTTGCTAAGCCGTTAGTAACGCTTTAAAGGGCTTAATATTGAGATATATACAGCTTGAACAAGATAAAAGGTAAACCACGATATTACCGTAGCGTACTCAATCGCAATTGAAATATGACGCAATTTCAAAAACTTTAAATTCACTTCGCCTCCAGGAACGTTACCACCAGCCCGCGCAGCGTCCACCTCCACTCACATCGGGCGTCGACGCCACACTGGTTGGCTCTCTGCCCTCCTTACCTCTGGAACCTCAAACTAATTATTTTATCCAAATCGTTGCTAGTCAACCCAAATTTAATTCTTGGTTATTTTGTGTGTGGCGTGTGTTAGTGCAAGCCGTTCTTAACAAACGCAAAATGTTCGTTAATCTACCCACCAAACCTCGTTTATGAATGGAAACACTTTGACATAACGAGCACTTCGCCGTTGTTGATAAAGCGAGGCTGCGAGTGCGTGGGACGGAATTTAAAACAATTCCCGATATCACAATTTTGCGTATGTTATCCAGAGTACAATGTCACACACATGGGCCAGATTGTAAAAGGCGCCGGATGGAGGTGAAACCAGATAACCTGCCGACACCCAGTAACCCCAGACGGTATAGAGTATGCTAAGAGTCCTATATATATACTTCTCGGCAGTACTGTACATCAAAGCCTCAGCGGAATTCACAGTGGTGTTCCAAGGGTGTACCAGCAGACATCCCCGGTGAGGATTGACTGGGCGCCAATCTTTAACTGTACCCACCCAGCAGGTTGTTAAACGATTTGGAGGGTTGTATTCCTTGGAAAATTTGGATTAAGGACTTGCCCGAAACGCTATGCGTGCTAGTGGCTTTACAAGAATGTAAGAATTCTTGTATGTGTGTGTATGTATGTATGGTTAATCTTTATCAATCAATCACGCGTAACACTTGATAATAGTCCCCAAAACGTCCTCACTCCCTTTACAATTCAAATACAAATACAACAAATACAATTTTATTTAGGTAAGGTACATACATACAATAAATATTTACAAGGATTGTTTGACTTATAGGTAGAGCTAGTACATACAATGCCTAAAGCCACTATTACGCAAAGCGTTTCGGGCATGATAAACTTAAATGACAAGCTTAATACTAATTGAGCATAATTTATTTTTTGCATATCTTTATTTTTTGATGTGTGGGTTGGGTGCCTATAAGCATGTGTATTTGTTCCTTATGATAATTATCCCAGGTGCGTTGAGATTTCTGGTAACAACTTTGTTGAAATGTTTAAAAAAAAACGACGTATGCAAAAAAGTTCCAATTATGAAGACATTGATTAACGTGAGGATTTTATCCTACTTATTAACAATAGTTTAACACCCCCGACCACAGCGACAGTGCTTGGTAGTGTAGTGGTAACACGCTATACCAGTAGCTAAGTCCAGGTTCGAGTTCGGGCCAGGAAGGACTGACTGGGCGCTTGTTGTGGCGGCGATTCGCCACCTGGAACACAAAGTTCCAAGTAGCACAGGCTATGGTGAGCCCGCAGATTGAGCGCTAATTCTTAGCTGTTCTATCCAGTAGTAATTTGTACTAGATTATTAACCGATTGGCGGGTCGTGTTCTAGGGAAAAGTAGTAGTTAAGGTTTACCATGAATTATAGGAGGGAAAAGTTCTCAGCCTACCAAGAGGAGTCACAAGTCGTCTGTTCCTATTCACATGTGTTAAAAAAAATTGCATGTTTTTACCCTAAATACCGTTTCTTGGACATATCATATGCTGTCGAATGTTTATTTGTAATTATAAACAGAATCTTTTGAACGAAAATAACCTATTATAGCTTATTTTCACTGTTTAGCTTCTCTTGCACACACACCAACTCGTTCTCCTAAGGGTTTCCCAACGTCAAGAAATGTAACGTACGTTTATGTTAAGTTGTTGAGTAGATTAGATACACAGCGTGTATCTAATCTACTAAGTGCTAATTAGTTTTGTCATTACGGTAATGAGAGAGTGGAGCGAGTATAAGGTTTACTCGCTACAGAAACTGTCGTACTAAAGTGACCTTATCCCAACCTACCAGTGGACCCAAAACAGAAAACAGGACAGTATGTCAGTTTTGCCGTTTCCATTTACTGGTACGACAATCAAAATCTATTGGTATACATTACCCGTCCTCTCAAAAATGAGATATTATGTTCCTTGCTGTGCTCTTCTTACACTATGCTACTCGCTAATTTATCCCAATCTAACGTAAGGTAGCTGTGCATGGGGTTCATCCATTGCAAACTACCTCAAGCCCATCATCACCCAACAAAAATCTGCTATCAGAACTATAACAGATTCTGTCTTCAGACAACTCACAGCCCCTCTGTTTAAATCTCTAAACATACACTCATTCTACACATTCTGTTGGTATACTTTCTAAAATAAGATGTAAAAGAACCCATAATCACCACACCAGCAATAAATATCTCTTTGATATCCCCAGCCAAACTACATCTGTGTAAACACTATGCAAATAAAGGGACCTAGTTCATGGAACTCACTCCCTAACGAATTGTAAAGCTGTCCAACCTACGCCTTATTCAAAAATAAAACAAAAAATTACCTAATCTCATTCTCATAGTTTCCTAGCTAGTGCCTTAAACTACTCAATTAGTATTAAGATTTAGTCATTAATGTTTTTCATGCCCAAAATGCTTTGTGTAATAGTGACTTTAGGCATTGTATGTACTAGCTCTATCTATAATTCCATCAATCTTTGTAAAATCTCTTGTATGTATGTACCTTACCTAAATAAACATTTATTTATTTATTTATTTATTTATAAACTCGCACTGTATCTTGTGCTACCCACTTCCTCAATGGATGTGCCTCAGCCATTCAACTTCACCATTGTAATCACTGCTATCTTATATCATGTTTGTCATAGTGAATGCAAACAGTATTTTACTACATTATATCTAGAAATAATCCTCAAATTATGTTACAATGTACCTGTTGATATCCTCAAATTTTACTATAATGTACTTGCGAATCTTCGTCAAATTTTTTTACTATGTACCTGTTAATATTACTTAATTTGGGTAGAAATTACGTACTTAAAATTATCCGTCAGATTAAGGTCCTGCCCGAAACGCTATGCGTATTAGTGGCTGTACAAGCATGTAAAAACATCAATGCTATGTACTGTATTCTCATAAACCTAATGTACTGTACCTTCTTGTATATGTGTGTGTGTGTATATATATATATATATATATATATATATATATATATATATATATATATATATATATATATATATTATATATATATATATATAAATAAAATTATCTTGTGCTATTTACACATGCAGAACCTCATTCCTTGATTCTAAACCTAATGTACTGTACCTTCTTGCATATATATATATATATATATATATATATATATATATATATATATATATATATTATATATATATATATATAAATAAATAAATAAAATTATCTTGTGCTATTTACACATGCAGAACCTCATTCCTTGATTCTAGTTCTGATTTGAAACTTATCTTGATAGATATAATAGAACCCATGAGCACCACACCAGATATAAATATATCTTTGATATTCCTAATCAAACTAAATCTGTGCCAACACTCCATGCAAATAAAAGGACCCAGTGCATGTAACTCACTCCTTAATGAATTACAAATTATCCAACCTATAAATTTATTCAATTAAAATAAAAAAGGACCTAAATTTCTTCCTTATAGTTTCCTACCTTGTGCTACCCACTCACCCAATTTAGTACTTAATACCCTATACATTAAACTTCATCAGTATAATCTATTCTATCAACATGTAATTATTAAGTTACTCAAATTCTGTTTTCTTTAATGTTTAGCTTAACGACCTGGCTGAAATGCTAAGCGTGTTAGTAGCTTTGCATGAATATTACATTCCGACCCCCAATGTATGTACTTTCTCAACCCAATATACCTTCTTGTAAATGAATGAATGAATGCATAAATAAATAAAATTAAATAAGTAAATAAATATGAAAGTGAGTGGAAAAAGATCTTTTCAGTACCTAAGAAAGATAATGTTAGGAAACTAGCATAAATTTTTACAACCATAGGGTTAAAAAGCATTTGCAAGGATGATTTACATTATATTTATTAAACATTAAATAATTTGTATACCTTTTATTACACTTGGATCTTCATAAAACATAGAAGCATGTTCTCCTAAGTTTTCACCTGTACTCAATATTTACACTTAACTGTGTATGTTTTAGTAACCTATTTATAGCAATGAAGCTCTTCAATGATGATACTACTGTATTTGCTAATGCTTAACATTATTTTTCAGTATGGATATATCCCGTTGCTTTAACCAATAGCCTCCAAAGAACTAAAATTCTTCAACACCGCAGACTGCCAAAATGACTGTTGTCTTCAAGTAAACACACACTAAACATTGCCACACACATTTTCTTTGCTTCTGTAAATTATTAAATATAATTATGACTTGCAACTAAAATAATACACAGTAGTATTGTCAGTGGCACAAAAACGAACATTATATTTGAATTGTACTACAAATAAAGAGTGACTTGATTCTGTACACCATTCAAGTGAAGTTAAATGCAGTCACATACAAGTCCTAGTGTTTTGTTGCATATATAAACAATCTTAGAACTAAAGCATTTACTCTTACTTGCAAATTATGGCTTGAGAAAACACCATTGCACTAAGCGCGCGCGCACACACATAGTATTGTATGTCAAGCACTGCTTTCTCGTAGTGTATGAGCAGCACTACCATATCCTATACTGTATATTATATGAGCAGTACTGCTTTCTTATATATATATTGCATGAGCAGTACTACTTTCTCATATATATTGCACGAGCACACTGCTTTCTTATAAAGATTGTATGAGCAGCACTGCTTCCTTATACAGGTATATGTTGTCTGTTTGCTTATATATACTGTATGAATAGCACCACTTTCTCATGTATATCGAGTATTAATTGTGAATTATCAACACCACCATCTGTATTCATAGTAAAATATTGCACTCTACATGACAAATTTGGACAGAACTTCCAAGAATACAGTATATTGCACTCAATACTCCCAAACACTTCTTACACTTCTCTGATCGCCATATGCAACCTTTTCCCATTTGATTTGGTAACTACTTGAGTAATGCATACCTAGATGCAGTACTTTTATATAGCTGTACTATTTATGGGTTAAGCATGTTGGTAGTGTGAATGTGGATCTCTGCATGCAG